CTGTCCTGCTCTCCTTCATGACCAGCCTCATAATCGTCTGTCTTTGACTGTTTTTAGAGAGTTGTACCATTGATGACTCCTGTCTGGAGGGTGAAGGGGTACCCAGGGGTTCAGGACAAGGACAGTCAACGTGGAGATACCCACTCCTTGAGTGAAAGCACCCCAACCTGCAGAGAGCAACCCATGGAGACTCCACGCTGAGAACCCTTCACTCTCTAATTGAGGGCACGCCAATGCTGGCGCTGTTGACCCCAATGTCAGATGGTTTTCATTCCAGGTGGACTCTTGGTTGCCTAATTGTTGAAATAATAATGTGATTGATTATTCCTTTTTATTTTCTTCTCCTAAAAGTTGTAGTTTTCTGGTTATTCATGAATGATTACAGGTAAAATAAATCTTGTACAGCTGCTTGCCCAGAGCTGATAGAAATTTACAAATGCCTTATAAGTAACTTAATAAAGTCTGGGGCTCAATTACATAATCAAGAACTCTGAGGAGACAAAATGCAGAAGAGACAGAGGATCATGAGGACCTGAACTGTGAAGACCTGCTGTCACCATCTTCAAATTCCATCTTCAACTATGCTGATGACACTACCACCATTGGCCGAATCAGTGCTGATGATGAGACAGCCTCCAGGGATGAGGTCAGGAACCTGGTGGAGTGGTGCACTGACAATAATCTCTGCCTCGACATCAGCAAAACCAAAGAGCTGGTCATCGATTTTAGAAAGCAGGGTGGGGACCCTACCCCTGTTCACATCAAGGGGGTGGCTGTAGAGAAGGTCAGCAGCTCCAGGTTCCTGGGTACCTTCATCACTAGTGATTGAACGTGGTCCCAGCATGTAACTGGAGCTCAAACGAAGGCACAACTGCGCCTTTACTTCCTCAGCCAGCTGAATCAGTGTGGTCTGTCTCCAGCGGTCCTGACCACATGGTACAGGTGCGCTGTGGAGACTGGCTCACGTGTGGGAGGACGGTGTGGCTTGGCAGCAGCTCGCTGTCTGACCGGAAGGGTTACAGGGGGCGATCAGGTCAGCCCACTCTATCACTGGGGTACAGCTCCCCTCTATTTCAGACATTTTCACTACTCGCAGCCTCAGGAAGGCTGGAAGTATCGTGAAGGACACCAGTCATCCTGGTTCCTCAGTGTTCTCCTCCCTTCCCTCTGGTCAGCGTTGTAGGAGCAGAAAGGCACCAACTTCCAGATCCACAGAGAGCTTCTTCCCACAAGCTGTCAGATTACTGAACTCTACCCCCACCACCGGCTCACACTGATGGGTTCGTTTTTTTTCACTATGATGTTATTTAACTTGTTGTTGTTGCTGCTGTTCTGTGTTTCCTTGATGTCTTTGTATAGGGGCATATATGCAAATAAGCATTTAGTTGCACTTGTGCCCATGACAATAAACTACAACAGAGTTACCCCTTTGCCAGTCGGACTAGTGTCATTGCACTCATTGGCCAGCAGGGGGAATCCTGGAACAGCCTTGAATTCAATTCAAGACAATTTATTGACGTGACCAATGAATTTCAGTGTTGCCAAAGAATTTATAATTAACACAACATCTGCAGACATTTACAATTCAGACACATCATAATACATTTACAAACATATGGAGCATTATTGAGAGACAGGCTCACTGTTCCTCAGGCTGGGGTAGGAGATCACACACTGAATTATTATCATTGAGAGACAGGCTTATTGTCTGTTCCTCAGGCTGGGACAGGAGATCACACACTGTATTATTATTATTGAGAGACAGGCTCACTGT